CAGTATCCACCAAGGCAATTTTTCCGATAGGGTAGGCTTTCCCGGTTAAGTTTCCTCGTAGTTTATAGGCGTGTTTACAAAGCAGGTCGAGCAAAGCGAGGAGAGCACACGTTATCCTACTTCCCTTTCGTTTTCAAACACTCCGTTGTTCAGTTACTGACGCAGTTATTCCTGTGGTTTGTGAAGACCAGTTGCAGTCCCGCAGACAAATAGTCAGGGGATCCGTTCAGGGTAACTACCGAAATTTATTTAGTGCCTGCGGGAACACTTCTGCTGCACTATTTATTTTTGCCGTCAACTTTAAGGTACACTAGAACAGGTGAATCAGTTTATATTGATAAAGTAGAGTACGAAAACTTTAATGTCAGTGATGCCGACATGATAGGTACATTAATAGAAAAAAAATTAAGGTCAGTGTTTTTAAATTTCATGCTGAAATTTCCACACGGGACGTCAAAAATTGGGAAGTGTATTTTTCGGATTTTGGTGACACTAAACTAAATTTCCCGAAACTTCATCTCTTGTGCCCGTGGTTTCTTCAGTGTGCATCATTATATCGGCAGCAATAGTTTGCGAGATCTTCAGCGCGTGGCGGAGCGACGAAAAACTTCATTTGTGCGTCACTTATACTGTGAAGCGACGGGTGTCCAGCATATATCGCCTCCGCGATTAGCGATGGCATGACCAGGATTTGGAGACTCGTAGCACGATCTCTCGTCGGCAATAGCGATGGCCTGCTGCAACTGAATGGAAGATAGACAAAAAAACATCATGTCTGACAAAAAAAAAAGCTAGTTATCGAAAAAAGTGCCGCCATATCCACGAAGTGAATGATGATGAGTGGGCGAAGCTCCGGAGGTAAACCTGGTAAACCATGAATCCTCTGTACATTTTGCCCACTCGATTTTATTACATCGCTCCCCCTAGCGTACGTCGCCGCACTAAATCGAACGATTGCCTTCAACCAATGACACGCGCCATATGTGACATCATTCCTATTTTATAAGATCTCGCGTCTTTCATCAACTACAAGTACCGCTTTCTAGTTTATAACATCTTGCATCTTTTCATCATCAGCTACAAGTACCACCATCTAGTAAACACTACAAGAACTAAACGAGAGGTGGCTACATACAGGGGACGGTACCGCCATCTAGTGAACACTGCAAGAACTAAACTAGAGGTGGCTACATACAGGGGACGCACAGCCCACGCCCTAAGGAGCTTCGCCCCTAAAACGACTACCGGTTTCATACAGTGGAGACTTCTTTCAACAGTACGGCAAAGTTCCACTACGAACTACCTAGCTTCCCACAGCCCTTAATATTTAACGATGAGAACCCCAGGTGGTCGAAATTTCCGGAGCCCTCCACTACGGCGTCTTTCATAATCATATGGTGGTTTTGGGACGTTAAACCTCACATATCAATCAAATCAATAAATATTTAACAGTGGGATCTTGTGTGTTTCTGTGGGGAGTATTTATTTGTGCTGGGAAGCCACACGCTGTGTAATGCGACACTGCGATTTCGCCGAAATGTACCAGTGGGTCTCTTCTACTATAACCCAGAGTCGTTTTTGATAACTTACTTTTTTAAGACGTGTGATTTTTCTCAATTCTTCACCACTGAGGTATGGCAGGCTTTTGTACCTGACGCCAAGAGGTGGCGCCACGTCCAGATGACCCCAATTCATGGAATGTCCCTTTATACAACGCACCGTTGCCCACTCTTATCGCGGAGGTCGTGGCCGATATCGCAAGCACGATGACGCAATGACAACGCTGAACCCGGTAGATGCCGTCACAATTTGTGACGTCACGACGTTTTTGGCGCGGTAATTTCAAAGTGGCGTCGCCACACGCATTTTTCCTGCTGCGCCTTTTTTTTTTTTGGTTACCAAGCGTTTACTTATCATCATCGTGGCTATCTTGTAATTGTGAAAGCTTAAAGTGTGAACACGAGTGAAATCGCGTTTTATCTTAAATGTCCATTTTAAGACAGCACCATCGTGAAAACTTCGCTGTCATCAAAAAAGAAACGCAAAACTAAGTTCAGCGAGATGTATTCAACACCTTCCAGCGCTAAGTAGACGTTATTGGTGGCTTTGCACTTTCAGCTTATGGTTATGCCTTCGATGTTCCAGCTTGAAAGGGCCGGGGCTGTTTGTCTACGTATGTTGCACCTTGGAACTCTGTGTCGACAGCTCTGTTCTCCGTCAGCGGCCATCGTAAAGCAGTACAGCAGTTTTACCGGATTACCGCGCGCGAAAAAAAAAAAAAAAAGCTTGCTTGCATCGCAGAAACACGAAACAAAAAATGAGTGCAAGTCTGCGTGCGGCTTTTTTACAAATCCGAATTTATGAAGGCGCACTTTCCCGCGATGGTATGTGGGCTTCTATTATCCCAATTTTGCTTTGATCTAGTTTTTTTCCCTTTTCTTTGTAACTTCGCACAGCCATTGGATATCAGGCTTAAAACGTTACACTGAACGTTTCAACTTTTCAACGTCGCTGCTACACTGCACGCAACTTTCTTAATCTTCATGTCAAGACCGACTTCCTTTTTTTCTTAAGCTCCCTAACTCTCTAAGACGAACCAGGTTGCCCATTCTATTCGCTTCTGAAGCGCTGAAACTTTCATGCATATTACCGTAGCTCAATTCTTGGTTGGCAGTTTTGCTGCTTGGGGGTGATGATGAAGACAGAAAAAGAAGGTAGGGCCACACCTGGGCTGTACCTCATGAAAAAAATTGAATCTTCGTTGAGGCCATTTTCTTTTGGTTATCGTTTTTACTTGACCGTGAGAAACTGAGTGATATCAGCGGCAGAGGAAGCGGTGTGAGTGAGTGTGTTGGTGAATGAGGCGGTGAGTGAGCGTATGTGAGCGGTGTTAGTGCGGGCATGACTGAGTGATTGGTTGAGTGATCGATTGATTAAGGAATGTCAGTGAGTGCATGGGCAAGTGAGTGATGCGAGCGGCATTGCGTGTAATTACGCGTGCGTGTTATAAGGAATATAAACTTCTCGAATTCCTTTTTTTTTTTGCGTGACAACTAGAAATACCAGGTCTTCACCGTTAAAGATGCTTCCTGTGCTGTCTGTCTAACAATAAATTTTGGCCATTGTGTGTACCTGTTTAAAACATTCACATGCCCCTGTGGATCGCAATAACACAAAAACAAGCATTTGCATGCTCTCATCGGTGTTTCTGAAATCTGAAAAACAAGCTACATTCGTTCGCAACTACACCCCGTAAAATGTTTATTCAAGTACGTCTTCCTTCGGCTATGTTTTGTTGGGGCACACAGAGTCATCACGAAGGGTTAACATGCACCTAAATCTGAGCACACGATGCTCGAGGTCCGTGCGCTCAGATTTAGGTGCATGTTAACAAACCCCAGAAGGTCAGAATTTCCGGAGCCCTACACTGCGGCGTCTCTCGTTATCATACGGCAGTTTCGGGACGTTGAACCCTCTATATAATTTAACGGGACACACACGGCTCGTGGTGGCCGTGAGCCGAACAACCTGTGCGTTTCTTTCCTGTTTTCTCGCGAACAATTCTTTCAATATCACTTCGGGACGCTCATAGGAAATACACGTGATCACTGCGAGTAGAAACAAAACCCATGACGTGACCGCTGTATGACGTCATTGTTTACAGCAGATCACTCAAAATGTCCAGTGGTGACTGTCATCTCTTACAGACAGTCCGTCTTGTCTGGCGTTCTCGAGACCAAGGTCCCGCGTCATCGTGACAGGCATGCATCGTGCATTTGTTGAGACGGTAACCGCGTCCCGGTATGTCCTTTTGTGGTCGCTGTCATTGCGAAAATGTTTTTCTGACTCATTTTCCCGTACCTTTGTGTGTCCTTTTTACTTGTGCAGCAGAATATTTCTCGCACAGCTGTTAACAGCAGGAGTATACTATTGTTCAAGCCTACTTAGACGTGCGCAGTCGGGATTGCTTGCGGTATGATAGAAGTATTCGGAACGCTAAAAACAAGAAAGCTTTCCTGTTGGGGCCCGTTACACTAACTTATTCGCTATTCAAAGCGTTCAGTCACTTTCACTAACAGCGAAGTATGAAAAATACAGTATGAAAAATTGCCCTGTATTTGCTAATCCTTAGTGCTTTACATAAAGTCGCGAATTTGCCCATTTGGTTTTCCTGTACTAAATCTTGAATTTTTGCTGCTAAATAACCGCTAACCTGCAGTTGACAACAAATGCCTGAGTGCTTTAGAGGTTGGGGTGCATTGCATGCCGCACAGCGTGAAGTCGCGGGTTCGATTCACAACCCAGGCTACCGCGTTCCGGTCAAAATAGAATGTGATGATATTTGCGAGACGTACTTTCTAGAGTATGGTGACTAGACCTGCATGGTGGCATCATTCGTACGCTTACCATGCGTCTCTCTTATCATCGCCTTCACATTAGAAGCTTATGGTTAGTCCGATACCTAAAGGTGAGTGTGGGTCTTCAAGATCCGTACACACCTTGCACATCCAAAACGTGGTGAAGACGACCAGGACGTCCGCATCACCCCTCTAAATCCACCTGGGGTGGCAGATCCAGACATTGGGGATAGTGTCGATGTCGACGATTGCACACAGTATGGATGTCAATACACCAACTCTCCCCTGTCGCGCACCATGATGCAATACAAGTTTGCAAGCGCACATCACCAAGACAGAGTTCTGCAGATGTCCATGAAATGATGCAGTGTTAAGAGAACAGTGTGGCATTAATCAAATGACTTCAACTAGAGAGTGTCTAAACCTTTATAGGCAAAAAGTCCTTGACACATTCCATTGGTCGTATACTTTTAAGAACCCAAATATTGTCTTGGCACCTTCGTGTCATATCTCAGTGATAATTGATAGCGTTTACTTTAGCGGTCAGCTTTGTAGACGATGTGTTTTCTGTAACATGGAACTAGAATGTATGCATCCACTGTATAGCCGGGTTTCTTATAATATATCCCTCCGCATTTGCAGGGCCAAGTGTGGGGCAGGGCCTTTTTACTACGGGAGGACGACGCCAGCTCGCGAGCCTCCCTGGGATACCTTGACGAGCGCGAGGCCCAGCTTGGCGGCTACTCGGTCAGCTTCGTCCAGTTCAGGCCCAGGGACCCGCGCGAGGAACCATTCCCCGCCCTGGTGTACATCGCGACGGCCAACAACCCGCTCTACCTGGGACCAGCCAGCTCCGTCCAGCTGGCCGACGAGGTGATGGCCGCCAAGGGCTTCTGTGGCGCCAACGCCGAGTACGTCCTCAAGCTGGCCCGTTTCATGAGGGAGGAGGTCCCGGACTGCTGGGACGACCACCTGTTCACGCTCGAGTCCCTGCTGAAGACAAGGCTCAAGGATTCGTGGGAGCTTCTGCAGGATATGAGCGCCTACGAGCCACCCATGTCAGCCTGGGAACAGCTGCGACGATTGTCCTTATTTTCGGACAACGGGGACCAGGAGGATCGAGAAAGAGACGCTGAGGCTGAGCCTGCAGCCGCAGGCGTGACCAACGACTTCGCCTCGAGCGTGCCGTCAAGGAAGCTCAGGTGCTTGGACATGTGAACGGACACTGTCCTTCTCTGCCGATACAAGTGCCCCTCGGAACTGCTTGTGGTCCGCTGCGCCTTAGGTGACGAAGATGGCTGTCTACAACAGCTGGATAAAGAGAAGCCTGGTGGCGTGGAGAAACTAAATTTTATTTATTTGTGTTTCTGAGGTATCTATGACATAACTGCGATCTCTCGTGTTCCGTCCCAGTGAGACGTAATGTTTATCGGACGTGAGACATTCGTGTCAGACAAACGTCGTCCATGGGTACTCGCGCTTACCTGTCCGGGACACAATGATGGGCTCGAAACGCCATGCTGGTAGCCCATTAGTCCTCATTACTTTGGCTAATATTTCTTCAATTACCAGCGCTAATTATCACTTGCTAATTATCGCGAATATTGTCAGTACAAAATTTGGAAAGAACTAAATACCTTCCCAAATCATGGCTATTTTTAGCGCGTACTATTTCGGACTACTGTATCAGTCTTATAAGGGCTTATATTTTTGTCGCCTTTACTGGACTTTTTATACGAATGAGTCAGTTTCTTGTTAGCATGCTTGTGCACGCCAAGTGACGCTCAATCATTTCTCTAAACGACGCACGTGAATTATTACGTGCGAAGCAGCTTTTGCTATGCTTACATAACAACGACACTATACGTTGCTATTCGGTGTATTCTTTCGCTAAATATACGTTTGCGATGCGTGTCAGCAACTGTTTCGGTTGGCGTCTCACAGTGCCTCAGAGGTGTGGCTGTCTTGAAGCACTCTACGTCGCATATGGGCACGTGTTCAATAAGCGAAAAGTTCTCAACATTTAAAAAATGTTTTTTTTCCTCTCTCCTCGTGTACGCACGTTGGTGGGCCTCACTGCAGTGTCGTCATGCGGCTAAGTTGTTCTGGAACGTGGACAGGCAATTCGTGACAATTATGTATAGACCGCATACATCATCAATGAGACACAGAATGAGGGCAACAAGATAGAAAAGGGCTACTGCTTATTAAGTAAGCAATCTGGTTTGCTACCGTAGGCATCGAAATAAAATCTTACGGACCAGAAGTGAAACAGAAAAGCAACGTGGCACAAAGCTGGGGTGCAGTTAGTGAAATGATCTTTCGTAAGCATATCTTGCAGATAACTATTGGCATGCTCGCTGTTTATGAAAATCGAGCGGGGCATAAAATTTCTGCAACTTATACATCGAGAGTAAAAAAAAAAAACAGTCATTTAACACTTGGAAAGCACAAGACCTCCCAGTCTGTCTGTGGCAGTTGAGGGTACGCATATGTGCTCAGAAAACCGCGGGCACAGTGGAAAATGAGGGGTTGTTAACTTTCAGCACTACATACATACATACATACATACATACATACATACATACATACCATACATACATACATACATACATACATACATACATACGTACATACATACATACATAATACATACATACATACATAATACATACATACATACGTACATACGTACATACATACATACATACATACATACATACACATACATACATACATACATACATACATACTACATACATACATACATACGTACATACATACGTACATACATACATACATATACATACATACATACCTACATACATACATACATACATACATCATACATACATACATACGTACATACATACATACATACATACATACGTACATACATACATACATACTACATACATACATACACATACATACATACATACATACATACATACATACATACATACATACATACATACATCATACATACATACATACATACATACGTACATACGTACATACATACATACATACATACATACATACATACATACATACATACATACATATACATACATACATACATACATACAGTCCACTGTTAAAGTGAACACCTCAATGCACAGCATGTTTAGTTTTCGCTATTTTACGGGAAAATCTTAGATATGGACAGGGCTACTGGTGATTGAATCTTATGGCACCTCTAGATTGACTAGTTTGCATGAAGATTGTTTTCATAACAATTTGTTAAAGGGCCAGCAGTATTTAGGGTCTGTATTTGAATGCTCTTTATTCACGTTGGACGGTACTTTGCAAACTTACGAGCTACAAGAGGCCGACCCTGGCCAATATAATGAGGAAAAATTGGTTGTCGCATATTTTATAGCTTCACAAATGAGGCATGAGGGAAACTGAGAGTTGGATGTTCACCATATGTGCGCAACTAGAGATCACAATTTTGGCAGAAGATTCACTAACAAGCTAGAAGCATTTCGGTAAATTAGATGACCTTGCAGTAGCGTCAGGCATATTGTCAAGTTTTGCTTGCGTACAGGCGTACATACAAGCGCATACACCAACATACATAAAGTATGAATCAACCCCCCCCGCCCCTCCACAAACACCCCAAAAAATATATTCCGGCTGCGCTGCTGGTAGGGTGGATCTACATAACCTTGAGCTCGCGGTAAAGAACTTAAGGTTTTGGATTGGGTAGCAATCGCTGAATTTGTTATCTTTCCAGTGCAAAATATGAAGTACTTATAATAGACTTGTCAAGCAATGGTTTGACTGTGTGTCGTTGTATGATCAATGCTTAGTATCGCAATACACGTTAACGAGATCGCATAAAGAGTAGCACTCAGCTTGTGGAACGTGCTTTCGCTTAATTCCTCGACACGTGACCCACTGGTACAGACTAAATAGTTCACGCATAGCCTGAATGGAACTGATATATTCATTCACCAATCAGCAAGAGGTAATCACTTCGAATTTCATTTCGGCTGCTTGCTGAACCCTAGCTGACTGAGGTGTTGTACGTGGTATGCAGTTGGAATTCGGATGTTCAGGGCAAGAAGGAAGCTTGAAGTCGTAAAAATTCGTTCAGCGGAGTGTCCCTGGGGCCGATTTTTCTACAAGAGCCCAAGATGAGTTGCTGCTCGGATGAAGGCGATTTGAAACGTTGCCTCTAGCAAAATTTACATCTTAAAACGGATTCTAATAATATACTTGTACCATAATTAAGGATACACACGTGAATGGACATTAGCTAATGTAGCCATTCTCATACTCAAGCACCGATAGGTGAAATATGGTGTACTTGGGCCACTTATAAACTTTACCAATTTGGCAGGTGAGATTTTCAATTCTTGTAAAACTTTGCCAACATAGTCTGCAGTCATTGAAAGTCGCCCATTTTGCCGAGGAGTACGAATACCTACGGGATACTTTGCTTGGTTCTGTCGGATAAAGTCGACACAGTCACGACGAGGTATGCCTCGATTGTAACTTCGACTAACGGTGGTGCAGTTGTGTAACGTTGAATATAAATATACACAGCAGGCAGCTCTAAGTCACCTGCGCGATTCCATTCCACCGTTGCCGCGGACAAGGGTGAAATTCTTGGAACGCGTTGTGCGAAAAGTGGCTTGCTTGTCTGTTGGATGTGCTTTTAGAAATCTTTACCTTGTACATGTCACCTACAATCCTCCTCAGGATTCTGCGTTTGCATTATGTCGTTGCTATTGGCAACAACAGGGGGCGATATCTAGTAGCGATTTCCCCCTAACTACGAAGATAATTGATTGATTGATTGATTGATTGATTGATAGATTGAATAATTGATTGACTGATTGATTGAGGGACTTATATGTGGGGTACTATCTCCAAGGCCACCACTATGATTATGAGAGACGCCGTAATGGAGGGCTCCGTAAATTTCGACCACTTGGGGTTCTTTAACGTGCACGCAAATCTGAGCACACAGACCTACAGTATTTTCGCCTCCATCGGAAATGCAGCTGCCGCAGCCGGGATTCGATCCCGCGACCTGTGAGTCAACAGCATTAGACACTAGACTACCGCGGTGGAGCAAACTACGAAGAAGTGTAAAGTGGTTTTCGCTTAGACAGATCAGCTTAGTAGTAAATAAAAAGCTTAGTGTGCCTTATACATGATTTTGTCGCGCCAGAAGTGAAGTACCATCGTTATGTCGGAGTAATGACTCCGCCCTCATAGGACAAAAGTCTGCTGCAAGATGGCGCCACCAACGCGTCTGCTGAGGTGTACGTGACCGGTGAAAGACAATGCCTCGTGGGCTACGTAACGCTATAGTGTGACATAACTGCAGCAACATGCGTCGTTGACTTTGGAATCTGAAGTGGTCGCGCTTCATTCACGTTAGCAGCAGGTTCCTCGTAGCCCCATCTTTGCAAAGTGAGCATATTTTGTCATACACACTCGCATGCGCACCTGGATAAGTTTGGTTTCTTTTATTTTCGCGAAACGCACATGTGGTGGTTACTGCACTTGCAGTGCTCGTCTGTGATATAACCTTGGTTCCTTTTACTAAATCGGCGAATCACTTGCTCAGCACTATTGTGCAGGAGGGACGTGTTTCGCCGTGGGTGTATGATAATTAAGAAGACTGCTAATAAATGAACGTTGCTTTCACGAAGCGTGGTTTGTTTGTGTTCTTCAGTGATGGGTCTCTACTGCTTCCTGTAAGAAACCCAGCAAGTACCTCATTGCCTGAATCTGACGTTTAAGCTCTGCCGAGGGGCCAAGACAACGCTGGTAATAGAGCTTAAGCGAAAAGCTAGTGTGGAACATCCGCGAAAATGACAAAGATAGGTAGAATGAACCTTATTCGAACGAAAGACTTAGGGGTTGATCATGAGTGGGACCCTCTTGTAGAGTTCTACAGGCCGCGGTGGCTTGCCGGGCCTGGTCCAGGGTCACCAGTTGACTCGCCAGTGCGAGCTCGGAAACCGTAGCTGCCAAGACCACGAACGTGAATGTGTCGTGAAAAAGCCGAGCTTAAAGGAGTACTGACACAAAATTTCGGGGCCGAGATAGCCTGGGAGGTCGATTCTTGTGAACATTCGTATATAATCTGCAAGATAACAACAGCGAATATAGCTTGGAAGGTATTTTAAATTAATTTTGATGATTGCGTGAGCGACCGATAACATAGCACTATAGACACCCTCGGAGGTGACTTCGAGGTGACCCCATACTTCCCTCACGTCACCACGCTGCGGTCAACAAAACAAGTTATGAGAACGTCATAGCCGCCATTTTTCTTTTTCCGCGTTAGTTCCCGAAGTCTATATTTCTCGGCGGCTGATCGCGAGTGCGTAGCCGTGGCGCACACTTAGAAAATTTTGTCTTAGACGACATCCCAGTTCCGTTTCGTGTTCGAAAGTAATTCTTTATGCAGACCGTGTGGAAGTGCGTCACAGTTCTTTGTGCTGACGTGGTCAAGAGCTGTGCACGTCATGTGGCGACAGTTGCACCCAGGTTTCGGAACTCTCTCAACCGAAACTGACTGATTATGAGGGGCCTGTAAATAATTATCTGTCGCTTGCTGCATCAAACGATGTGTCGTATCATGACCAACAGGCCCCCAGAAACGCATTGCA